AGGGTCTGAACACAAATCTCTCGCATGCCTCTCTCCACGAAGAGGACAAGCTTGTCTCCATGGCCTAGTTGCTTACACACCGAGTGATCATCTTTTCATTTGCTTTTCATTAAACAACAGAATAGAAAGCAGTGGGATGTCAGCATATGCAAGGTCCAATCCCTTAATGCAGAACAAAACACTACAGTCGTACCCACACCACTTACCACCACACATACCGTGAGGCTTTAGCCACGTGAGAAAGAGCACACACATTCCAAACCTTTGTAAAAAGACACACTTCTTCAGTACATTTTTAGTCCCTGATACAAGAATCGACAACAACACTGTTTCAGTTTGAAAGAGAGAAATCGGTATATATATTAAAGATGAAGGTCAGATTGCTTTTGATTAATTTACCCATTTCTGCTGCAAGACTGGTTTCCATAGAAATGCAAGCAGACTAAAAACCTGCAACCAGAAGTGAGTCAGTTTGGCCTGTTTATGTCTCCTCAGTTCCCATGGAAACAGACATTTAAAAAAAAATATATATAAAAAGGATAAGGGTCCTGAAATACCTTCAGAAAATCTCTTCCCAGAGCTTTATTTCTTTGGCTGCCTTTCCAGAATTAAAGTTGAAAATAACACAGAGCAACAGATGACAGAGTAGTGACTCGATTTCTTTATGGAGACATAAACAGAACATACATGGAGGTGTTTCAAAAGCCACATTCAAACTGACAAGCTCAAAATCTATATCTACAAATTCTATTAACTTAGGTTTAGGCAAAAGTACCTAAAGTAGAGCGTATATTTCTTTAAATTAATTCAATGCTAATGTAGATAGAAATACAACAGAGAACAGGAAAATAGTGTCACACTGTCCTTGTCCCAAGTATATTTCAATACTTTGAGGAGAAAAAAAAAAAGCTGCCTTGGAGGAATGAGTCAAATATTTCCACAGCCAGTACAATTTTTTAATGGAATCATTCCTTCCTTACAGCACATAAATTTTTAAGTTGCAAAATCAGCTATACACGAACCAGGTTAAGTAACAAACATCAGTATTAAATTTTAACACTACTATATTCTGCCCTTCAGTTACAAGTAAAAATTCATTCCTCCAAGCTGAAAAAGCAAACCTAGGAAGCACTGTTAGCAAGACTCCATCTCCCATCCTACTTTTCAAAGCTAAGGGGCCACCTTCCTCCCATGTGCTGTCTTTTTCACACTCCTGATAACATCTTCCTTCCTCCTTGGAGCCAAAGGCATCAGGGAAGGTGGAAGGGACAGGACAGAGAGTTCTTAGGAAAAAAGCTGCAATGCAGCTTAGACCTTCAAAACTTTCTCCTAGCACTACTGCTAGTATGTAAGAATTTCCTGACAACTCAATGTCCAGAAAAACAGCAAACAGCTTTAGGACTATCCGCTGCTGTGAGGTCCTTAGAATGTACAGGACAGCTAAACCTGATACCAAACTTTTGTTTGCCTTCCACATCACATTACCAGTTCTACGTGCTTAGCACACCTCCGTGCAACCCAACACTCTTAATCAGAGCTCTGCAGCAACTGTCACTACTGCTTGTCTGGGAAGAACGTGCAAGGACGGTGTACAGCTGCTACTGCTGTTGTCACAGACTGAAGCTGCATCACAGAAATCAGGACAGAAAAAAGAAAAGCTAAAGCTTACCTCTGTCCTAGACACTGCTCTTATACTTCAAATGATCCCCAGAACTCAAAGGTGCTCTTGCACTCACACATCGCTTTTTTGCACTTTGCCCCTGCTCCAAGAACTAACAATATACTGCCACAGACATAAGACAAGGCTCGGGGAAGAGCAGTCAGCCATGACACTTCCTAAAAGGGTGAGGGATGGGTAGCACTCACCAGAGTTTTGGCTTGAATGGAAGAAGTTGAACTTAATTCAACCTTAATTAGTTCACATCAGCTGAATTCAAATTGCTCTTGTCACAGGAAAGATAAGCCCTCGAGAATGAATTCTTTCCTATCACCCTTTGTATTTTGGCAAGGTGTAGAGTCACACAGGAAAGAGAACAATCTCTCAGAACTCACTAAGACATCACTCAAGGTGGACAGATGTAAACTTAAATGGAGATGGCAAGAGGATCATTGAGCTTTCAGTGTAGCTTTCATTCTATTCAGAAGTTTAGGCTCCTTTCTGGGAGGTGTCAGAAGTACAAATAAACAAATTACTTAATTCCTTTATTTCAGCAGCTAAATATACAAACATGGAAGAATCAGCGTGACTAGATGCCTTACAAGCTACCTTTCAAATTCATCAGTAACCACAACATACAGTTTTCCAGAACACTGAGGGAACGAATCACACAAGCAGCAAGCAAGCACATCAAGTCTCTTTCACCAGGCCCTACGGTAAATTTGTTTGTGTCCAATAATAAATACAGGTATCGAGCTTACTAAACCCAGTGCCTGAAGAGATTGCATGAGTGTCGGATGTCAGGATCAGCTCAGCTTCCTCTAGCCCAAAGAATGGGACAGACAGACACAAGATGGACATGACTGCTGAAGCTAGGCAGTCGCTACTACACCGAATAAAGATGCTGGTCACAAGAGAAGAAAAAATAATTTAATGAGACGATAACTTGCACAGAAAATCAATAAGCTTAGATTATAAAGCACCCCAAAATTAACACGCCTAACTTAGCTTTGCCTTTGGGGACATCGGCATTATCGTATCAATCTCAAGGAAATCTACAAGGTCACGCACAGACTCGCAGTTCGGGAAGTAAAGCCACAGCCGGCTATGGAGCACCGCCTGCCCTGCGGGCCCGGCTCAGCCAGGCTCCCTCCAGACAGCAGAGACTGCAGCTGCACCATCACTCCTTGGCTCACGTTACACACGCTCGAGGAGGCCTAAGCCTGGTTAAACAACCAACTTCGCTTGTCATTTGTTAACTTGCAAACACTTATTTATAGAAGCTTAACATTAACTCTTCATATCGAGTTTCCCAATATGGGCTTTTAAATTTGTGTTCTAAATCTGCACAAGTTCTTCCTGTGTAAAGTGACGTGATAAATAAAACATTTTTGACACATACAAAACTCTGAAGACAACTGAAAACTGGTATCACCTTAACTATTTTCAAAAGTAATCACATAAAATTTTGCCCTCTCACACTAGACTGTTTACATTAATATTTCAAGGAGTTTCCTCTGATATTTAGGGCACAGTACAGAAAAGCATCTAGAAGAAAAGGAACAACGGTACAGCCTGTATCACTTTGTCCAATTGATAAAGATCAGTAAGTGAAATCTTAAAAATAGCATCACTATTTAGTACATGTTGAACAAGCTTAATGCAAGCTCTGCAACTTCCGAGAATAAACTTAACATGCAAGATTAGAAAAAGGTGCATATAGATTTACAAAGTTGCATTGCAAGGCAGTTACCACAAAATTCCCCAGGGACTGACATGGCGCAAAGTAACAAACAGCACACAAAACTAAAGGCACAAAATCCAAAGAGGAGAACATGAAGAAATTCAGAACCCTTGCCAGCACCTTGGTATATGCCACAAACACAAAGTTTCTCCTCTACATTTAACAAAACTCAGATACAAGTTGAGGCCTGAAGGATTTTTTTTTGGTTGCCTTTTTAATTCTCAATGCAACTTCTGGTGGTATGAAGGAGGTAAAGGATGGCAGATGGTATAATTTCGTAACAGATCATCATGCGGTAGCAGATACAGCAAAACTGTTCTTCCAATTACATTCTGTACTTATTTTCATGCAGGAAGGATTTTCTATATCTCATCGACAAAAGTGCAAGTTTTCAGAAGGTCACAATCAAGATTTTTGACTCCCTCCCTGAACCATAAACCTGAAGAAACAGTCCTTGCTCAGAGAGACACTATCCATCTCCATTTACAAATTCAGTCTCACAATACCCGTTCTACTATAAGACACTTTAGCAGTCCTCCTGTCAAAGTCACTGCATCAGTGCAAATGTCATATCCAAGTTATCATCTGTCATCATGCAAAACTACTTAGAACACATAACAACAGATACAGAGCATGTAGAGCTAGAAAAAAAATTAAGTTTAATAAGCATCACAGCAGAGACCTCCAGCAGCATGCACAGAAACGCAACATAGCAAAGAGAGAATCTGGCTGACAGCTTTTTGTCAGACAGAAAAACAATCCTTCCGGATCAGTGTTTCTCAGCCACTGATCTAGGGAGCAACAGTCGGCTGCGAGACATCTGAAACAGCCTGTGGAACAGCTGCAAAGAAGGCTTGGCTTGTGTTTTGGGAGGGTGGGGAAGAGGAGGGAATTGTTTTCATGGTTTTATATTTTAATATGCAATTCTCACGTGCAAGCAAGAAAGCAATCAACACAAGCAAAAATAAAAGCAGTAACCAAGTAATCAAACCTCAGCCCCATTTATATCTCATTGCAACCAAAACCTCCTATGGCATCACCACACAGTAACATCCTCAGATTGCACTCAACGGTATCAGATGTCTCTTTGGACTTAAAAAGATTGAGACATCCTTTTAGGTGAAAGATAGCTAGCAGATAATAGCATGTAAGATAAATGGAATGTGAGGATTTCTGAAGGTCAAAGTAAGATGAGATAACCAGCATATACAATTATAGAAAGAAATCAAAATCCAGCAGAGATAAAACCCTTGTCTTAAATATTTTAAAACATACAGAAAAAAATCAGGCAACTAAAGCCTCAGCACACAAACTCTTGATTTTGACAGCTAAACATCATAAACTAACACAGAATATTCTAAGAACTGAAGTCTATACTAGATTTATGGAACATGAACCTGCTTTTGTACCCAGTAATAAAAGTAAAGCCATAAAGAGCATTAGGTAATCACAAATTCAACCCCTTAAGCTTTTGCTCCAGCATTTGATTTGGCTTAATCACACCCTTCTAATATTACTAAATCAGAATCACCTCAGTACTACTGCAACTAAGACAGACGTTTCAGGTAGCCCAGAAGCAGCTACACAGTGCTCACTTACTTGAATCCTCCCATCTGAGAAGGTGCAACTTCCACGCAGAATAGTAGAGAAATCCCAGTACCAAAAAGAGGCAGAGGGCTAGCAGCAGGTTACGCATAAACACCAACAGTCCCATCTTCACATGAAGTCTGCTCTTCTACATGACCTGAGGAAGAAAAACAGGTTGAGGCTGCAGCTGCCTTCTCCGACAGGCATCCTTCTGAAATGTGCAATCCCATTCCCCCAGTAAAACGCGGATCCAAACCCGTGCTTCGCACAAGGTAAAACACGCGGAAAACACCCAAACCGCGACACCGAACTGAGAACTACCGCACTAACAAGCTGCCCTTTTTTGTCCCCGGGGCATATGCCACGCCGGCGGGGCAGGAAGGCGCAGCCCGCGGTCCGCATTCCCGCCCCAGTCCGCTTCGGATCCCCGGCCCCGGGATC